CATCACTGCCTCAAATGGAGATTCTGGAGATAACTTTACAGCTATCATCATAGCTGTAAAGTTATCTCCCAAATCTCCATTTGAGGCATAATGGCTATATTCTGTGGGTCACTAGGCATTAACAGCAGGAGAACTATCTACAGCCAAATTGAAAAGTTTCTGACTTCCGAGCCTGAAGTACTCCAAATACTTGGGTACCGGGAGATACTCTCGAATGTATAGATTTTTTTTAAGCAGAGCTGGCTTTGTTCTCCAAACAGCCTGCATGTCCACTCCAGTTTCCCCAGTGTCTGTTGAACCTCCTGCACTTCCAGAGCTTCCTCATTGGCCAAAGAAGCAGCTACCCATGTCTATTGCTCCTTTAGAATCTCCAATCAGCCTGGTGAGGCCGAACCTCCAGAGGTCCTCTAGCAGCCTAAGAAGCAACCCCTCCCTTCTCAGCCAAAGAAGCAGCTGTTTCCACCTCAGTTGAAGGAGGTCTCAGTGTCTGCTGCTCAGGGGTCCTGGTGTCTATTGTCCCACATGAGGTTTGTGTGTCAGCTGAATCTCCAGGTTCTTCAGGGTCCTGCACTCCAGAGTCTTTGGGCCCTGCACTCCAGAATCTACCTTGGTCTTCCTCTCTCAAACCATTGGGGTCTGCACCTCCAAGAGGATCAAAGACAATGACATCTCTGTCATCCTCCGTGGGGATCAGCAATGATGTCCAACCTCCATGTGTCTCCATGAGGGTTTCCCATGACTCCTCACTTCTGTGTGTCTCTATGGGGTCAGCAACTATGGCCCACCTCCATGTGTCTCTGTGGTGATTGAGGACTGTGTCCCACATCCATTTCTCTCTGGGGGTTCAGAAACAATATTGCACCTTTGTGTGTCACCATGGGAGTAGATCATGTCTTTCCACTTACCTCTGGTCCAGTAGCAGCTACTGCCACAAGTCCCAAGTCTCTGGTGAGCTCCATGTTTCTAGCTACTGCATCTCCCTCCTATATGGTCCCATCTGCTGCTGAAGCTTCATCTGCTACAGCCTTTATGTGTTCCTCTGCTGCAGTCTCATCACCTGCTACAGCCTCTGAAGGGTCCACTGGTTCATCACTTGTTGCTGCAGAGTCTTTCATCCCATCAACCACTACATTGCCCTTCACCAAGATCTCATAGTCTGCTGCAGCCTTTGAAGAGTCTTCTGGTTCATAGCCTGCACCTTGTCTGTGGTGCCTTTGCCTACCACATCAGAACCACCATCGACAACCTTACAGCCACAGCTAAAGGCAGCAACCTCAAGGGTCCAAAACAAATGGCCGCAAATGATATGACATGACTACAAAGTCATTCAGCGATCTACGACCAAGGGCATCCTGGTGCCAAGTACACTTATGGGCACACATGTTGAAACATGGTGTTGATGATGGACAAACCATGAATAGCACAGAAGTCCAACAACAGAACACCGTTCGGGTTCAGATCAAAGAGGCTTTTCCTCCCAATCACGTCCCTCTAGGTCACACTGTTATTACCCACATGGGCATTGAATTCCTCCATCAGAATAAAGGAGTCCCCAGCTGATGCACCTTCCAGCACCCCCACCAAGGACACCATTTGGCAAGTAGGAACAAACAACAGTCAGAGCCCATCCTCCCTCCCAAAGACAGAGGGAGGCTACCCTCTCATCTACCTGGGAAAACTCTAACATACAGGCACCAAGTCAGGGGGCTAAAAGTAGACCCACACCAGCTTGGTGTCTCTCACCATGGGCAACTCCAGAGTGGAATAAGGTTAAGCCCCTCTCAAGGAGATTGAGTTCAGATCCCATGCTGTGCATCGAGGTGAGCCCAATTGTACCTCTCAACCTCACACACAAGCTCAGGCTCCTTCCCTGCCAGAGAGGTTACATTCTATGTCCCAAGAGCAAGATTTAGTAAGCTAGGGTCAGAGCACCAAGGACCCCACCTTTGGCCACTGCCCATGGCATCATGCACCCAACTCATGTGGCCCCTCCTACAGGTGGTGGGCCCATAGTAACGCAAACCCATGTTGCTCGTTTGGACTGAGCTCAATCGGGCCTCATGGGTAGAGACCCGGTTACCAGGCACTCACCGGTGAGCCCCTCCCTCAGGCCTGGCTCCAGGATGGGAACCTCGTAACCCACGTGTGCGCAAGGGACACTGAGCTCCTTGATTTTTCCTGTCCATTTGAGGTTTTGGAATCACTCTTTGCCTGGCCTGTCACCTAGAACCACTCTGCCTTGGGAGACCCTACATGGGGCAATTACAATTTCCCCTGACAGCATAACTATTCTGGTGCACAAACACCTCCACCATGAGAAGGTAGTGATTTAATTCATTTACAGTGTTTCAAATGATATTTCTCTAAAGAAATAGGCTTGTGGGTGAGCTGAAATGTGTACATTGCAGGTCAGGCATAAGCATCTGCCCCGAGGCAAGAGAAAGCATTCATGCATTCTAGGCCTGAGAGGGGCACTCCCTGCAGCCACACAGACTAAACTGGTTACATCCTCCCTCTGCTTTTTATGCCAAGACTTTTATTGCAGGATGAAGGGGGACATGATCCACAGCTGTACTGGATAGCTGTAAAATAAATGGTTTGTCAACAAGGTATGAGCTCCTAAAACACCCACACCCACTCCTACAAATGCATTTAATCTTAAACCGTCATTACACATGGTTAAGTGTTCAGAATTTTAGGTATATTTTCCCCACACTTTTTCTTAAACATATTCACTTCTGAGCCCCACAAAGGAGAGAGAAAATATATGTTTATTTTTTGTGAGATCTCAAAAATGTTTACAGTAAGTAGAGTCGTACAGTGTTGTTCCAAAGTAATTATCCCAAAAAGACTGTGTTCTTTGTCGAAGTGTGTATCAAGCATGATAAGCAGATTCCAATGATGACTCATAGATCTCAACCAAGTAGACCACAGAGTAGACCTAAGAGTAGACCTTGGAGTTTACTCAGATTAGACATCAGCATAGACATCAGAGTAAATTTAGAGTAGACCTCAGAATAGACCTCAGAAAATACCTCAGATTAGATTCAGAGTAGATCTCAGAGTAAATTTAAAGTAGACTTCAAAATAGACCTCAGATTAGATTCAGAGTACATCTCAGAGGAGATTTAGATTAGACCTCGAATTATACATTAGAGTAGACCTCAGAGAAAACTTCAGAATAGATTTAGAGTAGACCTCAGTGTAGACCTCAAAGAAGACCTCAGCATAGATTTCCAGTAAACCTCAGTAGATCTCAGATAAAGCAGAGTAGATCTCAGAAAAGACCTGAGTAGATTAAAGGCTACAGAATACTCGGGCGGACCTTTTTCTGCACAGACTTGACGCGCACTGTCTGCAGAGAGTTGAGACTTTATACTCAAGCGTCCACCCTGAGCTGCTGCAGACCAGCGCCGCAGGCAAGGGGTGTTTACCTTCGAGACAAATTGAGGTCGCCATTTGGTCATTTCATCAACTATCCCTCTCATACAATGCTGTTATTGCAAGTATCACTCAGTCCTGAATAGCAAGAGACCATCAGGGCACAAAAAATCGACCATTAGGCTGATGGGCCTCCTTTTGCATGTGAACAATTAGTTTTGGCTTTCACCAGCAAACTGGTTGATCCACTTATAAGGTTCTGTTTCTAAGACTGCGTTTGTTGCATCTCCGCAGACTGAAGAAGTGTTTTGGATAAAAGACAAAATGTTTCAACAAAGATGAAACCATCCAGAGTACCTGATCTTGTTAGATTCCTGGATTATTGGGCATGCATCAGGAAAGAACATTTAGAGTTCTCTTATTTCCTCTCATTAAATGTCAACATTTTAGCTGCACTACGTTAAAGTTTGTGACGTAAAAACAAACATTCAAAGTTTCCAAAAGGTACAAACGCTCTTTTGAACATCTCTGTGCCCAGCATTGTATGTAATAATTATATTATATACATATTCATAATAAACTTCATTATTAGCTTTGAAATGATTTGAATTTTTTTTTCAGTATTTTAAAATTTGATGGGAATTAATATAATAATGATAAGAATACCTTATTTATAAAACTCTTTAAAACAACCACAGCTGCAACAAAGTGTTGTACATATAAAATCAAGAAAGTTTAATCACAAAAAAAAATAAAGCAGATGTTAAAATATTAAGATCAATAAAAACAATAAAAACAGTGCAGAGCAAATTTCAGGCTGTGCCAAAAGTCAGGTAGTAAAAAATGTGTTTTTAAAAGAGTTTTAAAACTAGACAGTGAAGAGGCTCGTCTGATGAGAAGAGGGAGATCGTTCCACAGTCTTGGAACAGCAGAAAAAGCTCTGTCTCCTCTGAGCCTCCGTTTGGACCTCGACACCTCCAGGAGCAGCTGATCAGCTGATATGAGGCACCGGGCAGGAGAGTATGGGTGAAGCAGCTCAGACTGGAGGCGTCTGAGGGAGAACTGGCTGACTCCAAGGTAAAAAGTGTTACAGTAATCCAGTGACAAAAGCATGGATTACTGTTTCCAGCTGCTGTTTTCTGAGGATGGGCTTTACTTTAGCCAGCTGTCTGAGATGATAAAAACTGGTCTTGACCACCGCACCAATCTGGGAATCGAATTTAAAATCACTGTCTATTTTAAAACCCAAGTTAGAAACAGTTTTCTTTACATGTGGTACCAGAGGACCCAGATCAACAGGGCAAGGTTCACAAGAGCCACTAGGACCAAACACCATCACTTCTGTTTTCTTTTCATTGAAATTTAAGAAGTGTAAAGACATACAGGCTTTGATGTCTTCAAGACACAACAGAAGTGGCCTGATTGAAGGGACATCTTTCTTTTTTAGTGGCATATAGATCTGACTATTATCAGGATAACAGTGAAAAAAGTGAAACAGATGTAATTTACCAGCAGATTTTGATAAGTACTCAAGTTTTAGACAGGATCAAGACAAGTTTAACTAGGCTCAAAGCAGTAAAACTTTTCTGTCATCTTTTTTTCTTGGTGCAGGCCATCAACTATTTCAACTTGGTTTTGTTGTTCGTTTGTAGTCCTTCTTTAGGATTAAACCTGTACTTGTATCCATACGGCCTCAGATGGTAAGTCAGGTATTCCAACACGTACATTTGAACAGCGTAGATGTAGTGAAAGGACACCACAAAATCTGAACAGCAACCTGGACCCTGAAGAAACCAACAAAAAAGACAAAAAGCATTGATGTATGAGTGAAGCTATGCAGTTAGAGGCAAATAGTAAATCAATTCAATTCAATTCAATTCAAAAATACTTTATTAATGCCAAAGGGAAATTATTTGTTGTTGTAACTCGTTGTCCTCATTTCATTAAGCGATGTTATAGATGTTGATGGCTGTAGGCAGGAAGGATCTCTTGTAAAGGTTCTTCCCACAGTGGATCCTAAGAAAGTGGTTGCAGATGCTGTCCGATCCGTCCACCCAGACTTGGCTGGCCTCTCCGTTCCCCCGGGCTGCAGGATCGCCTGAATACCGGGCAGAACTCCTCCCAGAGCGATGGCCACTCCTCCCAGCAGTCTGCCGAGCTCCTTTTCACTGCGGACAGCCAACTGTATGTGCCAAAGGACGATCCTGTCCTTCCGCTGTCATGAGTCGTGTTTCCTTCTAGTTCCAGGATCTCAGTGGTCAGGGACTCGAGCATAGCTGGCAGGTAGATGAGAATGTGTCCACAGAACATCCTTTTCAACTCATTTGAGATTTGGGGCTGTAGTTGAGAAATTATTTGAGCTTTTGAGATGTTAAGCAGCTGCTGTTGGTTGTAGAAAACTGCCTTGTTGCAATGGTTACGCATCATAACAAATGTCCAAAACTAAAAAAGTTTCAGTAAAAATCCTTCCAGCTGCACAGCATCCGATACCAGAGGAAACAATCATCCAAAAAATGTGATTTACATCCAGAAAAAGAGGAATTAAAGTTTCCAAAAGCAAAATCTCAGAATGAAAGTACCAGAGCTACTCCAACATGCAGCCACCTTGAGCGGCGCAATTCTAGAACATCAATGGTCTATACTTATATATAGCCTTTCTATCTAAGCAAGATACCTAAAATGTTTTACAGCACATTCTGTGCCCTCATTTAGCTCCACACACACATCCACACAGCACTCCACTGGATCTCTACAGATATTATATGAATCTGAAGAGACTAAATGAATATAGAGTAAATGAATAATGGAGTAATAGTTTTACTAGACTGTCTGTAATAAATAATAATAATGAATCAATGTAAAATAAATGAAGAACATTATAGACAACCCTCAGCATCCTCTTCATCAGATTGTCATACAACAACAGAGTGTCTTCAGTCAGAGGCTTCTTCAGAACTGCTGTAAGACGAGATCCTTCCTGCCCACAGCCATCAGTATCTAGAACAACTCTTTAATGAAACCAGGAAGATGAGTTACCACATTTAATTTCCCTCAAAGTATTTTTGAATTGAATTGATCAGTGCTTTATCACATTCATAGACTCATGGAACACACATCAGAGGCAATAAGGAGTTCAGTGCCTTGCCCAGGGACACTTCAACATGTGACTGCATAGTGGTGGAATCGAACCCCTAACTCTCCTATTGGATAATGACTGCTCTAACCACTCAGCCACAGCTGCCCTTGAGGTGTAAACAATGACAGAGACCTGTCAGAGAGGTTTTATACATGTCTTCATGCAGGTGACCTAAACATCTGTTTGTAAAACAGGAAGACAAAGACCCTGATGACCCTACCCTGGGAGGGGAGCGTGATTATTCTGCATGTGAATTCACTGCATAAATGCTCAGCAAAGATTGGAACTCCACTCTGTCCAGTATTTAATTGTTAAAACTGTCAGGATGGGAAGCAAAATGTCTTCAGCTGCAGATTGAAAATCCATTTTTTTGCTGTTTTTAATTTATTTTATTTGCCCTGTCCTGGACGACAGAGTCTACAACCGTGTGTGAAGAGTACAGTTTGACTTACTTCAGTTGGAGCGTAGTAGTCATAAAGTAAATACCAAGGTCGAGACCTTGCTGGCTGTCGAACAACATAATAGTCTGGAGGATAAGGATGAAATGTTTGTCTTCCCCTCATGTCTCTGGAGTCAGCTGGCTGCACCTTCATTGTCTCCATACATTTCCCCAGAGCCATGTCTTCTATAGAGGAGAAATGGGTGCACTCTCCAGTGCTAAAGCCTTTGACAAACCTTCTCAAGGCTTCTTTACTCAGGACATAACCTGCTCCTCCACTCATGTAGCCCTGACTGATGAAAGGCGTGAACCTTCTGCCCAGGTATAATGGCTTCTCTGGATCGTACTTTAATAAGACGTAATGCAGATTTTCCATGACCACGTATGTGTCATCGTCAGCTTTCAGGAACCAGTTTGCTTCATCCAGGTGGTGTTGGTGGATGTACTGAAGGGCTTTGATGGTCTTCCAGTACAGGTTGTCTCTCCCCTCACTCACATTCAGCTGCACAGTGGAGAAATCAGTTTTCACTGAGCTCATGTAGATCACTTTGCCGCAGCGCTTGGCCCATGTTCCTCTGATGTGTTTGGTTCGTGTTTCTAGGTTCTTGGGTCCAGTCATGATCCAACATAAAATCTGAGGACTGCTAAATGAATGTTCTTCAGTGATGTTGCTCTCACCTGCAGAAGAAATGCAAAATGCATAAATCTCACTGTGATTATGTCAGAGCCAACAGTAATGACATTTACTGTTGAGACTAAACTTAATTTTAAAGTACGCACATCTTGAAGAGTCAAATGGAACACAAAACCAGATTTTAAAGAGTGTATGGTTTTCAGTGTTAAAAACAAATCTCCCATCCTTTAACCCCACATAAAAAATGTTACCAGGACTTCTTTCTTCCACCTGAACAATATCACTAAAATTAGAATAACCTTGTCAGTGACTGGTCTGCTCCATGCATTTAAAACTCCTGGACTATTATCCTACTATAAAGAGACCATCTTATCACAAACAGAACTGGTTTGTTCCACTTTGGAGTAAGCTGTTGGGGGAAGAATCAGTTTTGTTGTGTGTTTCCTTGACTGATGAAGCCTTCCGGACCGAAGGCGAAACGTTTCATCATAAAAACAAGAAACTGTCCTGATGACCTGACTGAAAAATGTTGGGCTCCAGGACTACTGTTTTTTGTTTGTTTGTTTGTTTTGTTGTTGTTGTTGTTGTTTTTTTTGGTTTTTTTTTTTTTTTGGGGGGGGGGGTTATCTGGGTGTCCAAAAATTCTTTAAGAAGTCTTCAAATTATTCAAAATGCTGTTGCTAAAGTTCTGATGAGATTTAGGAGAAGCATTTTTCTACAGAGGGTAGCACGGTGGCGCAACTGGTAGAGCTGCTGCCTCTCAGCGAGAAGGTCCTTGGTTCAAACCCCGGTCCAGGGGCCTTTCTGGGTGGAGTTTGCATGTTCTCTCCGTGCATGCGTGGGTTTTCTCCGGGTGCTCCGGTTTCCTCCCACAGACCAAAAACATGCATGTTAGGCTGATTGGTAACTCTAAATTGTCCCTAGGTGTGAGTGAGAGAGTGAATGGTGGTTTGTCTCTATGTGGCCCTGTGATGGACTTGCGACCCGTCCAGGGTGTACCTCGCCCCTCGCACAGTGACTGCTGGACATGGGCACCAGCGACCTCCGTGACACAAAATGGAATAAACAGGTAAAGATAATGGATGGGGGCAGCACGGTGACGCAACTGGTAGAGCTGCTGCCTCTCAGCGAGCAGGTCCCTGGTTCAAACCCCGGTCCAGGGGCCTTTCTGGGTGGAGTTTGCATGTTCTCTCCGTGCATGCATGGGTTTTCTCCGGGTACTCCGGTTTCCTCCCACAGTCCAAAAACATGCATGTTAGGCTGATTGGTAACTCTAAATTGTCCCTAGGTGTGAGTGAGAGAGTGAATGGTTGTTTGTCTAGTTTGTCTCTATGTGGCCCTGCGATGGACTTGCGACCCGTCCAGGGTGTACCCCGCCCCTCGCACAGTGATTGCTGGACATGGGCACCAGCGACCCCCGTGACCCAAAATGGAACAAACGGGTAAAGATAATGGATGGATGGATGGAGATAATGGATGGATGGATGGATTTTTCTACAGATTTAGCTTCTCTCCATTGGCTTCATGAATTTAAAGTCTTTCTTCTAACATAAAAAAAACTCCAACAACCAAGCTCCATCTCACATTAAAGAACTTATCGATCCATAATTTACTAACAGACCACTTCACAAAAAACAACAACTTTAAAGCAATATAAAAACTAGAAAGCACAGTTTCCTCAAATGATAGGGGTGGTTGGTTTGGCAACGGCCATCTTGGATTTGGATGTTTCAACATAATTGTTAATAGGGAACCATTCTTATTATATTTAACCTTTATTTATACAGGTAGTCTTGTTGAGTCATGAGGACTCACTTTCAAGAAAGACCTGTTTTAGACAGACAACATATAGAGTGCAATAAACAACAATATACAACAATAAAAGCAATTAAAAATCAATAGTGTTATGAAAACAATCAAATCAAAGCGCCATATAAAACAAGGTAAAGTGTAGGGGTTTTCAGTGTGTTCTCTCCACAGACTCTTGAGTTCCTGCAGCAGAGTTAATCATGCCCAGCTGCTGGCCATCTCCCTAATTACCTCCAGGACTATATGAGGCTGCAGACTTGCTTCATCCAGTGCCGGAGCATATCTTGTTGAGGGTAGTTGTGCTCCTGGCCTTTCAAGTGTTTAGTTATATTTTTGAATACTTACCTGTGTGTCTTCTTCATTCTGACAGACCTTGGTTTTTCCTGCACCTCCAGTCGTTTCATGCAAACCTGTGGATTGATTCTGTACTTACCTGAGCTCAAGTTTCTCCTCGTGGACTCCAGCCAAACTACTACCCCTCCTGTCTCGACCTCCACGCTCCACCTGTGCATCGACCTCTTACTGGAATTTGGATTTGTTACATCTCCACCCTGTGTCACCCCACCTGTCATTTACAGTAAGAAGAATATTATCATTTCCCGACCATCATATCATCCATCCTCCAACCAATAAGAATTCAATCGTCTCCCTTTCCCTTCCAGGGGTTTTCCAGTTTCAGCTCCTGTGAATATAAGTGTCGTCGTCATCATCAGTTTGTTGTCCTTCAGTCCGTTCTTTCTGGGTACACTCCGCTATTATGACAGAAATGCTCCAGCCACAACAGACTACCCAGAACATGACTGAGGGAGGGCAATCTCAGGATGTTAACCCACAAACTAAATGTTTGGATAAAATGGAGGCTGCATTACAGCAGATATTGACCCAGCAAGCCATAAACTAATCCAATCTACGAGAGCTTGGGGGTATGTTATCCACGACTAATTAAAACATCGCTCAACTACTTCCTGTTTCACAGCTCACCCAACATAGCCTCACACCTGCTCAAGATATGGCAGCTACAGCCACTCTAAGCTCCAATGAGATGTCTATCAAACCCTCTGAGTTTTTTAGCGGCGATACAGATCAATATGGTGGATTGTTACAATGTCGTCTGGCGTTCTCGAGAGCTCCCCAAACCTATGCCTCAGATGTAGCTAAGATCTCATTTATTATAAGTCAGTTAAAAGGAGAGGCGTTGGGTAAATGCGCATCTGTTATCGCGCTCCCTCGACTCATTGACTTTTTCTGATTTTTTTTTTTTTTTTTTTTTTTTCCTCTCCAAGATTTCTCAGTGGTCTTCGATCACCCGCTACAGCAGAAGGAGGCAGTGAAGTGACTATTAAAGCTCCGAAATGGAAGGATGTCTGTGTCGAAGTGTGCCCTCAACTTCTGCATTACAGCTGCTCAGACGGGTTGGGGAGAGCTTGCCATCAAAGGTACCTTTTTACATTCACTATCCAATAGAGTAAAAGACCAGCTTGCACTCAGAGATGAACCCCAGAGCCTGGATGAGCTTATACGTGTTGCAATCAAGATAGACAATCGTTTTAACGAAAGGCACAACGAAAAGAACTACAACTCCCAGTGGCCAGTTACTTCCGGGTTTTGCCCGGCGCATAGTTTTCAGTTTGAGACCAAACAATTTCAGGAGGAGGAACCAGAGCCGATGCAGATTGGAAGCACTCATTTGTCCTCAGAGGAAGAAGACAATGTATACAGACTGGGAGATGTATGTATTGTGGTCAGCAGGGACATTATATTGCTCACTGCCCATTGCTGGGAAGATGGGGCTACAACCCAATAACAGATAATGGTGGGTAATTCTTCTTGTTCTCCTGCATCACGTTTTGTCTTCTACCATCATGAACAATAATACAAAGTTATATCTTACAGTCTTAGTGGATTTGGGAGCAGAACAAAACCTCATCAGTCATGACTTGGTGGACCAGCTAGCCATTCCTACTCAGACCCTTCAGAACACTGACAGTGACCAGATTACCTGGACAAAGTTTTGCCACAATATGCCTCAAGGTACAACGACTGCACATCATCATTTCTGGTAACCACTACGAGAAGTGTGATTTCTTTGTATTTGACTCTCCCACTACTCAATTGATTTTGGGTTTTCCTTGACTAGAGAAACATAACCCTACTATAAACTGGACTGAAAAGAGTTGATAAATGGAGTACATTCTGTTTAAAGAACTGTCTGCGTTCAGCCATACCTAGCACCCCTGAGAGGAAACGTATAATCAAACAAGCTGACTTGTCCAGTGTTCCTACTGCATATCATGACTTGGGCTCTGTATTTAATAAAGAAAAAGAATTATCATTGCCTCCGCATCGTCCTTGTGTCAAATAAGTACGGAGCTCAGACTGATCTTATGGGAAAGAAAGCCAGAACATGTTATTCTGCTAAGTCATGGTTTGTAGGCCTCAATGCCTTGAAAGATCAGGGCCATGTGTAAAACAGCATGAACACACACACATATACAGGCCCACTTGAAGAAACACACACACACACGCAAGCTCACAGTCACACAAACAGGCTCCCTAAGACATGCACATGGCGGAGGGAGGAAAGCAGAGCAAAGAATGTTCTTTTCAATAAAAAAAGTACCAGTTTCAGACGAATGAGAGATGTGGTTATAATGTCAATAAACAAGTAGATAATCAAATGATATTATAAAATCTGTGATTTTACAATGTAATCTGTGTTTAAGCTTGTTCATGATGAATGTTGAATGGAAAAAAAACTGTAGTTTTGTGAATGTTCTGGAAAGAACGTTATGAGTAAGAATATTACGCAAGGGGAAAAACCCTAAAATACAGCTCTGAGCCAATCAGCATAAGACAAGCACAGAATGACGGTGCATTATTGAACAATATGCATTAAGAATGACTGGCAAAATCTCATAAGAAGCCAGTGAAGTCGGACCAAGGTCCCGCCTAAAAGGGTGGGTTAAGCCTGATGGGGTGACTGGCCGAGAGATGTCAGTCAAAATTTCAGGCTTTATAAACAGAGGGTTTTAGAGAAGGCTCTGCTGTTTGGGGACCCACTTCACAAAGCGAAGGAGCTCAGGACAAGATCCGAAGAACCTTTGGACGAATTGTGGATTAATAGGGCAATTTTGGACTGTTTTAGCTGGAGAAGAACTGGGGTGGAATCCGATGGAATAAGTTTCTTTTTTGGAACTATTTCTTCAAAACTCAACAGCCCGGATTAAACCTGAAACCCTTTTTCTTCAAATTGAACCAGA